GGCAACGGGGCTTGCCAGTTCAAATGCCTTCTCCAAGTCTAGGAAGACAACCACAGAGGGTGAGGTGCATATTGAGCTCAGGAGTGTGGAAATGCTGTATGCTGTGCTCTTACCCCTTGTGAACCAGTGCAGGTGTTCATAAGGGGTCCCATTTTCCATCGGAGCCTGTTAAGTACCAACTTCTCAGCTGTTTTTCTCGGGCAGCTGAGGAGAGAGATGGGACGGTACTTGCCTGGCTCCTTTGGTTTTGGGATGGGAACTATTATGGCTTGTTTCCAATTTCTGGGGCAGTGTGGCAGTTTGCCAGGACTTGTTGATGAGTTGCAAGAATGCAAGCTCTCCTGCAAGACCTAAGTGCGAGATGATGGGCTGGGTGATCCCATCAGATCCCGGTGCTGATCCAGAGATGGTTTTGTATGAATTTCTTAGTTCCCTGAGAGAGAACAAGGCATGCGAGTCATCAGGTTCGAGTACCTTGTCTATGATAAGAGCAAGCCTGCCTGGATTTAGGTTTTTGCTGTTTATCCCTCAGCACTGGAGGCAGGTTGTTGCTGCTGGTTCTGGCTGAGAACTCGAGCACCAGCCTGTGAGCCTCTGACTGTGGGTCATGATGCGTGCATTTCGGGGCTTGGCGGTTTGTCGCTTGCCTGACCCGTTTCCACAACTCTGTAAGGCTGGTCTGGTGGCCAAAAGTCTGGCACTATTCCAACCACTTTTCCTGCCTTACTCTGTTGGTTGTTTCCTTGGCATCCACAACAGCTTCCCTCAAGAGGGCTAGGTTTTCGGGAGTTCTTTGCCGTCGAAAGTTTTTTCTGCACATGTTGACTCTATGATTGACCTCTCATCATTATAGTACCAGGCGTCTTTGTGAGTTCTGGACCATGGACGAGTTTTGGGGATGGTTTGTGATGTGGCTTGATTTATGGCCTGGATTATCCTTGCCTCTAGCACGTCTACATTTTCATTGTTGTGGGGTTCATTGTCTCTCAGACAGCGGGCCAAGCCTTTCTGGAAGGTTAACCAGTTGGCCTTGTCTGTTTTCCATTTAGGAATGTGATGTGGTCTTTGGGCTGGACCGTCATTCATGAGGGTGATGATTATGCCATAATGATCACTTGTAACCGTATCATCGACACACCATCGAATTCTCTCCACCATTGTTGCAGTGGCAAAGGTAAGGTCCAGAACCACTCCCTTCACATGCGATGGTTCTGAGAATGTGTCAAGCACCTCTGCTATACGAATGCCTGCCGCGTTCGGCCTCTTGCGGGGATTCAGCAATGATAGATGTGCACTGAAGTCTCCCCCTGTGATCACTCGGTCTTGTGCTGCAGTAGCACAGACCTGGTATAAATCTAAACTCTCACACAGTGGTTTGCTATATACAGTGTATATTTTCAGAGGGCCCCCAGGCAGATGAATGAACCTCAACAGCAAGAGATTCAACGCCATCTCCACAGTGCGGCGGGTTGGCTATTAAGGAGTACGGGATTGCTTCTTTTACCAGGGTCATCAGGCCTCTAGCACCATCCAGGTTTGGAGTGGTGAAGACGCGATAGCCTAAGAAGTGAACAGATCCCATAGTTAGTGTCTCCTGGAGCATGATGATGTCAATGCTCCTTGCTCGCACTGTTGACTGGAGAAAGGAGTTTTTTTTTCTGTTATAGCTACAGATATTCCACTGAAGAATGCTTAGATTGTGTACCATGATGGTTACTTAGAGTCACTTACATCATACTCGTCTCCGGCTTCAGAAGCCCCAGGGCTGGTGGCATCTGATATGTATAGATCCTTGTTGATTTAAGATCGTACATCAACTAAGTGGGTTGACACTCTGGGTAAGGGTCTACTGGGAGAAGTAGAGCCTAGATTAGAAGTGCCACCTCGAGTCAAGGGACCAGATCTTGGCTGTACAGACTCAGTCTGTTGTGAGGGCATCAGCTGCACAGTTACAGTCTAGCCTGACAGACTAGCTGGGGTTTCACTTGTCATTCGAGGTTTCAGGGAGGGGAGTGCGGCTCTGCTTCAGTTTGGAGGCTTCAAGCTTCCTTTCAGGGCTGCAATAGTCTGGAGGCGCTGGGATGAAATCAGGAGGCTTTTGGCTTGCTCCTGCTTTTTGAGGACTGCCTGTTTCCTGACAGAGCAAGCCAGGCTCCAGGCATGATGCCTCTTGGCACAGTTTGGACACGGCAATTGTGTCTTTCTGGCCACCTTTGTGTGCCTAGATACACACGTCTGTTTCATGTGCCTTGCTGCACACACCACATTTGGCTTTGGCTCTGTAGTTGGCCTGGTGGTTCCCAAATTTTTGGCACGTGGAACACCTCAAGGGCTCTGGCACATATGTCCTGAGCTTATATGAGCCATATGTATGTGTGTGTGTGTATGCACACACACACACACACAGATCAAGGGTAGTGATTGGGGCTCCTTTGAGGATGACCAGGACTTGCCTGGTTGGAGACTTCCCTTTGGACAGGCAGGAAGCCTCCAGTACTTGAAGGAGAAACGTGATCACCTCCACGTCTAACCCTAGTGGAAAATTAGGAGGTCAGTGGTGAGCACATCTTTGAGCACCTTGGTTTCTTGCAGGAAACTTAGGTTGGCTTTGTCTTTGGGCATGGTGATCATGCCCACGTCTCTGATAATTCGGATTGATAGGCAGATTTGCCTTTCCTTTTCCAATGCCCTAACCAGCTGGTAGGCATTGTAAAGTTTTCAGGCTTCTTTGGTACCTCAAAGTACATAAATTAATTTGGGATGGGTACAGACTCTCCTTCAGAGTCCATCTCCACCCTGCATCGCTACGCACCTCCCCCTTTATGGGGTTTAAGGCCTTTGGTTGTGGGGGTGGCTGATTTGGCTGGTTCAGCTTGGACCACTATTTGACTGAGAATTCTAAGATGTCAGATTTCTCTCAGTTTGGGCTGCAGGCCTGGAGAGGCCAACCCTTGAGTCCAACTGTTGGACTATTTGATGGACAGACTTTGTTGGGGGTGATTTTTTTGTCTTATCTGTCTTGAAGGGCTTCAGGGTGACTGCCTTGGTCATTTCCATGCTATGGTCATTATCTTTTTGATCAGTCCGAGGGGAGGTTTTGTTTGAGCAAGCCATATGATTTTAGCTTTCGTTCAACCTCACGCAACCCCACCCACCACGGAGTTCAACAAGGGGAAGCTGTGTGTTAGAGCACATTCTCTAACAGCCATGGGGCTAACGTGAGGGTATACGCAGTCACTGGGTTGTTTGTGGGACGGCGCTGTGTCAGGCCAAACAACACATGACCGCTTGATCCTAGTCTCCTTTTGGAGACCAGCCGATTGACCTGACCGGGCCGTTCAGGCCGCCCGTCTTGCTGGAATAAAGGACCAAAGAGTTGTGTTGCTAGCCGCAGGGCGTACTCATTCACGGCATCGCTCAAACTCCAGGACTCC